CAAGGAGTAGCAGTAGAAAGGCTGCAGAAAGAGTCAAGAACCCAGTGGAGGGGGCAAAGGAGGGGCGGGTGTGGGGGCAGAAAGTGAAAACGAAAGCAGACGACAGAACATTGCTAAAGAGCATGAAAGGAGGTGACAGGAGACAATTTTAGATAAGAAAATTTTCCGTCGCTACTCGGATTCAAACCAGGGACCTTGGAATGAGAGGCGAACACCTTAACCTCTAGGCCCAGGGAGCCCCCTGGCATGGTTATGAAACTGTTCTGTATTGCTGTAACATTGTGTATTCATATATTATAAATGTATATGTGTTTAATAATATGTGTATCTATTTACGTATGTATTTATAATGACAATGTATGTATTTATGTAGCCTATGTATGTGTGTTTGCCATTATAAACCAAAATGCCCTTCTGGGATCAATAAAAATGTACTGTAATTTCAATCTTTAAAATTTGTTTATTTTAGACATTAGGGTAAAACTAGACAACAGTTTCAGACTTCAACGGGTATTAACTTTGAAATGTGCAATTAGTTGGGATAAGAAGTCGAGATAAAAAACAATCAATACTCAATACCTATGTGTTGCATCTTGTTGGAAAAATTGGCTTCTCAAGGTTGACGTAATAAGAGGTAAGGTTCTTGCCGTCTGTGTTTGAAAAACTACTGCTATATTATAGAAAAAGAATTTTTATTCCCGAAAAGAAAAAGTCTTAGAAAACCACTTCATGTTTTTGTCTCAATTATCCACGCTTAACAATTGTGAATTAGACGGGAATAAGCTGAAATGCAAATAGGTAAAGGTTGGCGACACAGAATAAACGGTGGCAGTGTATGAGTTTAATGTCCCTGTCAACACTATTGTGGTCTTTAAGACGGGTGGGTCTTTTGAATAACCGTCTCTGATAGGGCCTAGCCAAATGGGCTGAGAGTGAGAGCTTGAAAACTCTACAAAACGATCCGAAATGAAGAACGCCCAGTCTGGGATACGAGCGCCAGGGCCATTCACACCGTAGTCCAGCGTGAAATTAACGGAGTGATCGGAACGTTCAGACACAGAAGTAAAGGTAAGACTAGGCATGATTGTGTTGCGTGTATATCAAAAAGCTTATGGTGTGGATTCAGTGTTATTGCATTATTCATCTCCAGGGCACGTCCATACTGCAAGTAACGGCGGAAGACGGAGACAAGGGTGTGGATGTGTCAAACGGCGTCACATACAATATAACATCAGGTGCTTTGCTATACTTATTGTTGTTATGTTTTGATGTGTTTTGTTTTGTTTTGTTGCTGTTGGTGGTGGTGCTGTTGTTGTTGTTGTTGTTGTTGTTGTTGCTGTTGTTGTTGTTGTTGTTGTTGGTGGTGGTGGTGTTGTTGTTCTTGTTGTTGTTCTTGTTGTTGTACGTCGTGTTTAGTGGTTCTGGTTGGTTGTTTCTCTTTTTTTTTCTTTAAGAGGGGAGGGGTAGATTTTGTTTTGGTTTGTTTTGGTTTTGGTTTTTATTGGGG